CTACAGCAAACCTAATTCTTCAGTTTCACACACACACACACACACTTCTCAATATTGTCTTGTACCTTTGTGAAGGTCACTCTTAGGTACTGCTGTTTCCTTTGTGTTCACCTCCTCTTTGGCACTCTAGCCATACTTAAGTATCGATACTTTCTGTTCCTAGGGAAGTCCAATGATATCCCCTTGTCTAAAATTAACTCCTCCTCTCTTTGGAAAGCTAACTCCCACTCATCAGGTCTCAGCTGAGACCTCAATTCCTCCAAAAAGCTTTCCCTGGCTTTATCAGAGGAAAGTTGTATTCATTTGAGGTTTCAGAATCCTGCCAGACCAGGACTAGTGTCTTTGTAAGGACTAGACTGAGACCAGGCAGAGTATGAGTATGTGCAGGTGGCTCCCTGAGGACTTTAGTGGAGCCTGAGTGCTCTAACTGCATAACTCACTCAACTGTCTTGCCAGATCCTATACTGGTTTGACTGGGAATAATTCAAAAAAGAAAACCTCCTCATTCCATCCTTCCAATTGATAGCCACCTTTCACTCTTCTCTTCATTTGTCTCTTAAATTTCTCTTACTGTCCATTTGATAACACTCTGATGGGATGTCTTCCACATGCTGCTTTATGGAATTTCTTCAAGGAATTGCTAAAAGATACGATACCTAATTGCTCTACGATACCCCATTTCATCTAGGAGGGATTGGGAGGGAAGGGATGTGTCCATTATGCTCACTAATGTATTTTTAGTGTTTGCCATGGTTCCTGGCACATAGTAGGTACTCAAGGAAATGAACTGAATGACTCATTATGGTCTTAGGGTTAATAGAAGCATGGCTGACTTTCAGTCTGCACACGAGTTGTTTAAGGAGTATCCATTATTATTAGTCAGAACCCAGAGCGCAAAGAACACCGCCTCGTATAACAGCAATCTTTGAGTACAACAAGATAGTAATCAATCAGCAGATAATTATCAAGTGTTGATATTGTGCCCAAAGCTGTTTCAGACATTCTGGCATTACAAAGGAAGTGAGGCAGATAAAATTATCATACAGTAAACAATTAGAACAAGCAAATATATCCAACATTTATATGACCATTTAAAGTATACTTGTACTGTATAGATTAACTCACCCTTCAAAATAAGCACATGAGGTAGGATTATAATGTTATAGGTAAAGAGAGGTTCAGAGAAATTAAGGATATTCACAAAGCTGGTCACTGGTAGAGTTGCGATTTTAGACCAAGTTTATTAACTCTGAGGCAGAAATTAAACTTTATGGTTATGATTATAAGGGCAAAACTACCTCACAGAAGAGAGAGAACCTAGGTTTCATAAAGATATAGACTCTGTAAGAATCATAATGGTCCACATTCTTCATATTTAATATCAGCCTACCTGTCCTTTAAGTGGTCCTCAAATTTTATTGTTCTTAAGAAATACAAAGTGTTTGCATGTGAAAAGTACAAATTCCTCATACCCCATACCTTATATATTCGGATTCCATAGATAGTAGATAGGATCCAGGTGTTTGCATTTTAACAAATCTCTCAGATGATCCCAATGCAAAGATCTACTGAGGACATAGGAATGAGTTCAGGTGATAAATAGAAACCTAGCTTTCTCCTGTAGTTTCCTCCTGAGGCAGAATTTCTTAATGGGAATTGGATGGACAGCTAAGAAAACTGGGTTCCTGAGGTAAATGGACAAGATGGACATGAGACAAATTTCCAATGGAAGTAAAAAAATAAAATCTTTTACTTCACTAATAATAAAGAAACGCACACTAAAACAATGAGACGATACTGAGCTCCTACCAAGTCAGCCAAAATAGTTTTCTTTTTTGAAAAAGAATAACTTGTTCTGGTGAATAAAATCTTCACTGTTCTAGACTGCTGATGTGAGTGGAATTTAGTGCAAGTCTATTAGAAAGCAACATATCAATATATATTTTCAAAATACATACTGTGATTCTGAACCCAAATATATATTTCTGGTAAGAAATAAAAAGTCTGAATGGTGTTTGTCTTTACGTGGTAAAAGCATTTCTTCTTTACTGTTATTTTATAAATTTTTAATGAAAGAATGTAAGAAACCTAGTCTCTAGCAGTTATAGATTGCTAGATTGTGGCAAATTACTCAGAATGATATTTTTATCTGGAAAATTAGGTGGTGGTGTTTTTAACCCTTTTGCACTCATTATCTTGTTGAAGAGCTAATGTAAACTATGGACTATGCAGAAAAATAGATACGCTCACGTATACACAAAAAAAAATGTGTGCAAATTCAATGTTGTTAAGAATCTCAGAAGCCCACTGTGGATCCCAGATTAAGAATTCCTAATCTTGAAGGATAATTCTAACAGGCGTCATTTAAAATTCTGTACGGGAGATATCATCCCCATCCCCACTGAAGAAGTAAAGAAAGCATCAACCTACTATTCATATCAACAACTATGGCAGATGCTGCAAGCTATATAAATATTATTTGTAGGATAGTATTTTAAATTATATTTCAAATTTCAGTATGTTCATTACGCTCTTTCTCTAGTTGTAGGGAACAGAAAGAGCATGCCCTCTTAATTGAAAAAATTTCAGAATCAATTGAGAAAACTTTTAGTAGCTGCTCAGCTATACTTTGCCACCATTCAGGACCTATAGCAACTCAGAAGATAAGCACACAGTGGCACTGGAGACCCAACACATGCTTAGGACTAAACTCTTCTGGTCTCTGTTTCTCTCTGTGTTTTTCCTTTTAACGCTTCTCTCAACTAATCAACTCCCTCTCATGGAAATACAAGAAAAAAGAGAGAGGGGCTTCCCTGGTGGCGCAGTGGTTGAGAGTCCGCCTGCCAATGCAGGGGACGCAGGTTCGTGCCCTGGTCCGGGAAGATCCCACATGCCGCAGAGTGTCTGGGCCCGTGAGCCGCGGCCACTGAGCCTGTGCGTCTGGAGCCTGTGCTCCACAGCGGGAGAGGCCACAACAGTAAGAGGCCCGCATACGGCAAAAAAAACAAAAAAAAAACAAAAAAAAACCAGAGAGACAGAGAGAGAGAGAAAGAGAGAGAGAGAAAATCTGACTAGATAAACCAATCACTGTCTGATCTATGGCAGCCTGGTTGGATTGAGCGTTATCAGCAGGTGCTGATGGATAGTGGGTAGTTGGCTGGGCTGTGGATGGGGCTGTCTTTGAGTCAAATGAACTTCTCTAAAGCAAACAGGCATGTCCAATTATAGAGTTCACGTCATACGAAGCATGGCAACCTATGTAAAAAGTACCCCACAAATAGGGACAGTACCTAGAATACTTCCCAGAAATAGGCAGAGTAACCAGCAGGCCTCTCATGTATTTGCTGCTGTTAAACTATTAGGAAGACAAACATGTGGAAAACAAGGTTAGACATAGACTTTTAAAAAACTATATGATAGTGTTGGTTATCAAGATTGAGGTACTTCTGGGGGGTAGGGGAAGATGAAGTAAATTCTCCTGTTTTCATGTACTCGTTAGCAGTTTTCAGTCAATTCAGGCCTTCACAATTTCTTTCCTAGCTTCTGAAGTTCAAAAGGTTCAAAAATACTAAAGAGGCCCCAGCTGCCTCTTTGATTTTCTAAATTCTAGCGATTATTTAAATAATATACATTTATTAATTCAGTCCCCAAAGTATTTGGTAAAAATATAAACAAATCTGACTGTCAATCTAAGAGTCATTGTGGAAAATTTGGAAAACAATAACATGAAGCAAAAAAACAAAAAAACCCCATAATTCATGATTTAAACAAATTAGGTTAAATTGCTATTCAACAACAAATTGCTATCAATTCCTTTGGTCAACATCTGTAGCTTACAGTGATTAGAAGTCAGTGGAGGCTTTAGGCCTCTCTCCCATATCCTCAATTCAGTATCTAAAAACTATAAATCTGATAGGAAACGTGAATGTCTTAATGGTGTTTGTCTTTAGATGTGGAAATCATGGGTATTCCCTTCTACCTTTTCTGTATTTCATAAATTTCTAATGAAAGAAAAAAAACAGATTTCTGTATGTTATAGTAATAGCAAGCCCTTCTTAAAACTGTGCCAAATATACTGGCATTTATTAGCAAACAAACAAAAAATATTTATGCAACCTGTTTTGAAAACTTGGGGAAGTTCCACTCTCTGTCTCTTTTGACAAACACCTTGGGTTTGTCGGGTTTACTCTGAGGCAGTCACAGTGACATCTTGAAGCCAGAATACCTACCCTGGCCAGATCAGTTGACAGATTCCTCCAGGAAGTAGGGGTACAATGCAAGAACATGGAGCTCTAGATCTTGGTGCTTCTCTGATGGTATTTAGGTTACTGAGCTTCCCAGATTCCATTACCTTGTTCAGGTAAGGATAGCGAGGCGTGCTCAATTTTGCATATTTTGACAACACTCATTTCACCAGTGGAAAAAAATAACTTGTTCTTATGTTCATTAACAAAGTCTTTGGGATAGGTTTTAATAGTAATTTTTGAGCTGCCTGATAACCTCTTCAAGTGCAGATTCCTGATAGGGATATTTCAGATGCTAAACAATAGATACTGGGGTGTAGCGCAACATTCATCTATGCACACAGATCTCAAACTATATTATACCAAGGTATTTTGTGTTTCACACAAAAATATATTTTCAAAATAAATCTTTTTTATATTAATATTCATATTTTCCCCTTTAAATGGCTCAAAACTTAACTAAAGCCTTTGCAAAAAAGATGACTAGGTCTAATATGAGAGGGTAAAGTGAAATTGAAACATTTATTTCTCAACGGTAAAAAGTAAAAATAAAATTTTCAAAGAACTTAAGTATTTTTTTCCCAAACTCTCAGATGAGCAAGGACATTTCATATATAGCCACAAAACTATTATCATACACAAGAAATTTTACATGGATACAAAATATGATTCATATAGAGTCCACATTGAACTTTCTCCAATTGTCCTCAAAATCTGAAGAACCTAGAATCAATTAAATTTTCACATGTTACATTTGGTTGCCATAGCTCTTTAGTGTCATATTCTGAATTTGTCTGATAGTTTCCTCATGATTAGAGTGTCTGGGTAAGGATTCTACACAGGTAACATTGTGTATTTCCCAAGTGTCTAATGAGGAGATACATAATATCACTTTGTCTCATTATTAGTGGTGGTCAATTTGATCACTTGGTAAAGGTGATGTCTGCCAGATCTCCCTATTTTAATTGTACAGTTAATCTTTTGCAGTTGATAAGTAATCTGTAAGGCCACACTTGAGACTATGTGAATGCCCTGCTTCTTCAAAACTTTTTACCCATTAGTTTTTCACATCCATTGATAGACCTTGTCTGAATCAATTATTTACACTGGTGCTGTAAATGGTGATTTTCTCATTTTATTTTTTCCTCTACATATTAGTACACACTCGTCTATAATTTCCCTTCTTACCCTTGAACTTATGTATTTATTATTCATCTATTTTTGGTAACATGTTCTTTTTTATATTTTCAGTATGTTGAAATGCATTAATACCATGATTTTTGTTGATGCTAAAACTGTCCCAAATTTGACCACTTTAAGCACTTATATCTCCAGTGTTCATTTTATGTATCCCCATCACTTTCTTTGTACTTCTTTGCTTTCCCTCACAATCTGACATTCCAATGAGATACTGCCTTTTTCATTACTATATTTCCATGTGATTTTTCATCTGCCTGTGAGCTTTCTATAATTTTCCATTACTTTCTCTGTCTTTCTATCTATTCAAGGATCAGTATCACAGTTTTTTTGTTTGTTTGTTTTCGGTACGCGGGCCTCTCACTGTCTTGGCCTCTCCCGTTGCGGAGCACAGGCTCCGGATGTGCAGGCTTGGCGGCCCTGGCTCACGGGTCTAGCCGCTCCGCGGCATGTGGGATCTTCCCGGACCGGGGCACAAACCCGTGTCCCCTGCATCGGCAGGCGGACTCTCAACCACTGCGCCACCAAGGAAGCCCCAATATCACAGTTTTAATTACAGAAGCTTATAGTATGTTTTAATAAAGTCATCCCTCATTGTTCATTTTTTAGGGTTCTCATGGCTATTTTTATGTTTATTTTTCCATATAAACTTCAAAAATCTACTTGAATAGCTACATAAAGTAATCTTTTGTTTTTCTTATTACGATCATGCTAGATTTATTAATAAGGTGGGAATAAATGATAGCTTTATAATGTTTACTCATGCTATCCAAAAACAAGAAAAATCCCCAAATTTATGCAAATTCTTTTATATTTTTCAAAAGTATTTTAATTTTTCCTCACATAGATTTTACACATTTTCTATTAATTTATTCTTAAATGAATTCTCTTTTTGCTACTAATGTAAACTGAAGTTTTATCTTCTGTTACATCACCTAAGCTACTGTTTGTGTATAAAAAGGCTTATGATACTTGTTTTTAGTTTAATATTTTGTTACTTTTACTGAATTTCTAAAAATTATATTAGTGTTTTCAGTCTTGTATTTTTCCAAATATACTGCAATATCATCTGTAAATAGAGATAGTTTCACTTCTTCTATTTCAATTCTCGTGGCTCTATTGTTTATTTGAGTCTGATTGCATTGACTAGTGCCTCTACTACACTTTTATTATTATTTATTAACTGATATAAAATTTTAATGAATACAAAAAGTAGTAATTACAGGACTATAGTCCTAATTAATACAGGTGAAAAAATTCTTAACAAAATATATAGCAAATTAAATCCAGAAAAAAGTAAAAATAATAAAATATGCATCACTGAATTTTGTTAGAGGAAAAAATGGCTGAGTGGACACTAGGGAAACAATCAGCTCTCACTCCCACAGTCTGTTTTCCTCTCTGCAGCCAGAGAGAGCCTGTGAAGACCTGAGTTGGGCCACCTCCCTCCTCAGTAATAAACTTTCTATGGCTCCCACCACCTTCAGAAGGCCCAGCTCCTCAGGTGCCATTCCACAGCTGATGCCCGCCCACCTGCTCTCTGGTCCCAAGAGACACAGTTAGACTTGGCGGTTTCAAAAACTTTCTCAGTTCAGTGTCACATCCAAGCATAGGCACATGCTAGTTCTTGTGCCTGGAAACCCTTCCTTACCTCATCCTACTGTACGGTTCCAGAAATTAAAAGTGCTCCACACAACCCCTGGTCTCGATTAAGGAGGACCAAGGGCCAAGAATGACTCACCTCTCGGTACCCCAAACTCTAGGGCAGAGAGAGTGGAAGGCGAAAAGTCCTAGGACGACAGCATCCTCTACATCCGGGCCCGGAGGCTAGTAGGACGAGGGTCCCAGTGGCTGGCAGCCCGAAGCCCACCCACTCACCAGCTTCCAGCTCACTGTAGCCCGCCCACCCTGTGAACTGGGCGGGACCTGGGCGGGGCCTTCAAGCTTAGTGGATCCCCCATTCGTTTGGCCCTGGTCGGGGCGTGACCTCGACGGACCTACGGTCTGAGCCTCTGTTTACCGCGTGTAAAAGGCACGCAAGGCCCAGGGCTCCGCCTTCAGGTCCCTGGAGGGAGGAGGGTCGATACGGAGCCGGGAGAGCAGCAGGCGGGAGTCGCGGCTCCTACAAAGGCGCAAAGGTTGGTCCTATTCTCTTCCTCCTCCTTCCTTGCAGCACGCCTACGAGCCGCCTGGGAAGCAGCCCCACCCAGGTCTCGGGTGTCCACCAAAGCGGTGCACTGATTCTCCATCCCCGCCATACACACACACACCAGCCACCTCTAATATATTTTTAAATAGTAGTGGAGTTAGTGGGTATCCATGACTTGTTTTTGGCCTTAATGTGAATGCCTCTAGTCTTCGCTAGTAAGTAACATACTGACTTTAGGACTGCATTTTGTGTGTGTGTGTGTGTGTGTGTGTGTGTGTGTGTGTGTGTAGTTATAATCATATATTAATACTAAAGAAGAAATTGTTCAGCTCCTATTCAACATTTTATAAAATGTTTTGATAATGAGGAATGGTTGTTAATTTTTGTCAAAGGCCACTTTAACATCTGTGAAGATGATCATATGATTTTCCTCTTAGATTTTTGGAATAATATCACCTGGTCATGCTATTTAATTTTTATGATGAATTCTTGGATTCTATTTGCTCATATGTTATTTAGATTTTTACTTCCATACTTATGAGATTGATCTATAGTTTATTTTTCGTGCTATCTTTATAAAGTTTAGATGACAATATAATTCTTGTTTCATAAACGTATCTTGTGGCTTTTCTTCTTTTTCTATACTCAGAAATAATTTAAGTAAGTTGAGAGTATACTATCTTTGCAGATTTAGGAGGATTCCCTTGTGAAAACTGGGCCTAGTCCTTTTATAATAACCTTCCCCATTTATTCTATGGAAACTGGAAGATGTTATGTGATTCTGCAAAGCAGAATGTTCCAACCAACTAACAGCTTTACGGAGCAAATGTCTTATGTATTCTTCAAGGTCTCACTCATATATCATATTCACACTCCACCCTTCACTCAAGGACAGAATCAATCCCTCCTTATTTATTTATTTATTTTTTAAAATTTATTTATTTATTATTTTTGCCTGTGTTGGGTCTTCGTTGCTGCGTGCGGGCTTTCTCCAGTTGCGGTGAGCAGGGGCTACTCTTTGTTGTGGTGTGCGGGCTTCTCATTGCGGTGGCTTCTCTTGTTGGGGAGCACGGGCTCTAGGTGCACGTGCTTCAGTAGTTGCAGCACATGGGCTCAGTAGTTGTGGCTTGTGGGCTCTAGAATGCAGGCTCAGTAGCTGTAGCGCACGGGCTTAGTTGCTCCGCAGTATGTGGGATCTTCCTGGACCAGGGATCAAACCCACACTGGCAGGCGGGTTCTTAACCATGGCACCATCAGGGAAGTCCCCTCCTTATTTCTTTTACATTCATAGCATTATGCATATGTCTTACATATTTGATCACGTGTTGTAGCATACTTATTTATGGAGGTGACCATGTCTCTAGACTCTCAAAGACAGAGACACCAATTTAATCATGTTTGATCCTTCAGCCACAAAATATTGCTTAGCCCTTCGTAAGTGTTCAAGAAATATATTTTGAATAATAATGAATGAAGAAAAGGAAAAAAAACCAATGAAAGCCCACTTTAATATATAGGTAAAATCTCATAGGGGTTTTGTATTCAGAACACAAGTAAGATTCCTAGCATTAAGTACTATATGTGCTCAACAGGTAATAACTTGTCCCCATGTGAAAGCCTGCTGCTTGGTTCTTTGGACAATTCCTAGAGAAATCATGAGATTTCTCTCTTGCCTGTAGTATCAAAGCACAGTATCCAGCCTACTGATGGTAGTTCACTCTGAAAATGTCTATAGGGATGAAATTCTCCAATTGGGGTCAACAACGATAAGGAAATGCAGGCATGTGTTGTGCCTCTGAGATTTTTTACAGGCAACATTTGTTTTAGAATTGTAGTTTTACATTAGCTGAATATAGTTTTGAAATGTGTCTTCCACTGGAGTCCTGAAAAACAATGTGCTGTATCCTGAACAACAACTTAGCAGTTCTCATACCTGGGCTTTCTTCCCAGTTCCTGTGCTATTTCCCCAGACAACAAATTAATTAAATGGCCTTTGGCCATAACTCTTTC